TAGTCTTCATCTTGGTCTTGGTCTTCATCTTTGTCATTATGGTCTTCATCGTCCCCGTATCGGTCTTTATCTTGGTCTTCGTCATTTTCTTGGTCTTGGTTGTCTGCTTGGTCTTCGTCTTCGTGGTCGTCTGCTTTGTCTTCTTCGCTGTCTTCTTGCTGTTGTTCATTATCTTCGTTCTTATGGTCATTGTCATCTTAGACTTGGACGTCATCTTAGTCGTAGTTTTTGTTGCCTTGGTCTTGGTCATCATCTTGGTCTTTGTTGTCATCGTCTTGGTCTTAGTCTTCTTGGTCGTCATCTTGGTCATCTTGTTTGTCTTAGTTTTCTTCGTCATCATCTTGGTCTTCATCTTCGCCCCTATGGTTGTCATCATTATCTTCGTCTTGAACGTCATCTTGGTCTTAGTCGTCTTGGTCTTGGTCGTCATCATAGTAACTGTGAGAGTGTGTGCGAGGTTTTCTGCACATGTGGAGTTCGTCAGTGTGTGTGTGTTTGTGTTTGCCTAGTCTGAATGTATGTTTGCTTATGTTAACTGCAGGTTTACACGCGGCGTTTCTCTCTGACAGGCTCTGTGTACTGTTTACACACAGTAGCTCTGCCCGTCACTCGCACATTGTGCTGTCCTTGTTTGCCCAGCTTGAGTCCTGATGCAGTCGCACATCTTCATGTCTCTGTCAGTGAAGGCTAAGTGTGTGTGTGTGTGTGTGTTGTGTCTTCAGGCCTGTTGCGTCCTCACTCTGGGATTTCATGTCCTGTTAAAAGCTGTGTGTGTGTGTGTGTCTCTGATTCTGGTCTTAGGCTGAGGGTAATTTACAGACCTGTCAGCGGGCACACACACACACACTTTAGTGCTTCTACAGCACAACAGGTCCTCTATCAGCCAGGACACATAAATAGCGCAGGAGAGCATTAGGATGTCAGAGCGGCTCTGGACTCTCATACATTCAGCCTTTAGAGAGAGTGGAGTCTGCACACTGAATTATAAACTCCTCCACACTCCGACTTCAGGAACAGCACTGAACTTTTGGAGATTAAAGACGAGAGAGAAATCATCATCATTTCATCTTTATCTCCTTGGTGCATCTCCTCAGTATTCTCAGCGGTGTTTACCAATTGTTTATTTGTGTTTCATCTTTTGCTGTTGGTTATTTAGCGAGATTCAAAGCAATTAACGGCACAAAGAGTTTTATATAGCCGCCTTAATGAAATAATGATCGCTCGGTCTGCTCTTCTGATGAATTAGTGTCTCTTAATTAGGATAAAAATATATGATGTTCCTAAAATGCCGTACCTTTGATGCAAATAAAAAAAGTGTGAGAATATATAGCAAAATAAAGGAGGGATGGTTAGAGCAAAAATCATTTAATGACAGGAACATAATTAAGATAAATCATTCTGTAAATGTAGATCTGAATGTCTTTTCCACTTTTCATAGATGGATGGATGGATGGATGGATAAATAGATGGGTAGATGGATGGGTAGATAGATAGGCAGATGGATTGCTGGATGATCAATTGAACGGATGGATGGACAGACAGACAGACAAATAGACCGATGGATAGATAAATTAATAGATGGATGGATGGATGCATAGGTGGACAGACAGACAGATAGATAGGCAGATGGATAGATACATGGATGGATGGCTAGTTAGGCAGATAAATGTGTTGATGGATGGATGGCAGACTAATAAATCAATGGGTGAATGGACAGACAGATAGATGGATGGATGGATGGATAAATAGATGGGTAGATGGTTTTATAGGCGGATGGATGGATGGATGGTTAGATAAGCAGATGGATGGGCAGATGGATAGATGGAAGGATGGCTAGTTAGGCAGATGGATGGATGGACGGATAGATAGATAGGTGGATGGATGGCAGACTAATGAATCAATGGATGAATGGACAGATAGATGGAGGGATGGATAGATGGTTTGATAGGCAGATGGATGGATAGTTAGATAAGTGGATGGATGGGTGGAATGAATGGATGGATGGGCAGATGGATGGATGGGCAGATTTGATAGATGGATGGATGGATAGTTAGAAAAGCAGATAGATGGATGGATGGATGGATGGATGGATGGATGGATGGATAGAAAGGCAGATGGATTGCCTGATGGACAAATGAACAGATTGATGGACAGATGGATTGGTGGATCCATAGGTGGATGAATAGACAGACCGACAGACAGATAGATGGGCGGATGAATAGATGGATAGATAGACAAATGGATAGAAAGAAGGATGGATAAGTAGTTAGGTGGAAGGACGGACAGACAGATGGACGGACTAACAAATCGATGAATGAATGGACAGACAGATGGATGGATAGGTGGAGGGATAGATAGATATATAGATAGATGGACAGACAGACAGACAGACAGACAGACGGTTTTATTTCAGATGGGTTTTATTTCATATTGCAGGTTCTAATTCAAAGACAAATCTGTTTTTGGAGATTGCAGTTTTCTTCTTTAATTAATTAGCAGGCATTAATCAGCGTATTAATAGAGGAGGGGAGTATGATAGCAAACAGACCCTCCGCTGTGCCGTTCAAAGAAGCTTAATGGCTGCTCGTCTCCCAAGTTTATTTGCTAATTGCTTTGACAAGACCATTAGTGTTATTTACTCAATTCCTCCAGAGTTAGCAAAGCATCTAATCTCCATCTGCAGCTCCTCGGGCTTCCTTATTGTTAATTTCTTCATTTTCAGACATTTGAATGTATTTATTTTGACATACAGAACAGGACATGCGTCTGTGAACTGTACACTCTATAAATGTGGTTTTCTGTAGTAACGCAGCTCTCTCTCTCATTGGCTTTGGCAGGTCTTCCGCGGTTCCTCAGTCAGCCGGAGGGTGTTTCTGTTCGCAGCGGTGGGACTGAGATGCTGAGCTGTGAGGTGACGGAGGAGCTGGTCCCGTTCACCCGCTGGGACAGAGATGCTCGGCCTGTGGAGCTGGACAGCAGGGTCATTCAGCTGCCCAGCGGAGCTCTGGTCATCAGCAACGCCTCGCAGGCTGACGCCGGACTCTACCGTTGCACCATAGATGGACTCGGACCTCCCAAAACCACTGAGGAGGCAGAGCTGCAGGTGGTCACAGGTACAGACCCATCATTCAAATGATCCATTCAGATTGAGACTCCACTAAATGATTCACTTAAATGATCCATTTAGAGTATTTAGTAAAGGAATCAGTGATTCAAATGAATTATTCAGAGTGAGACTCCACTAAATGATTCACCTAAATGATCCATTTAGGGTATTTAGTAAAGGAATCACTGATTCAAATGATCCATTCAGTGTGAGACACCACTAAATGATTCACTTAAATGATCCATTTAGAGTATTTAGTAAAGGACTCACTGATTCAAATTATCTATTCAGAGTGAGACACCACTAAATGATTCACTTAAATGATCCATTTAGAGTATTTAGTAAGGGAATCACTGATTCAAATGATCCATTCAGAGTGAGTCTTCAGTAAATGAGTAACCGATTCAAATGATCCATTCAGAGTTAGACTCCACTAAATGAATCACTGAATCAAATGATCCATTCAGATTGAGTATTTAGTAAATGAGTCACTGATTCAAACGATATGTTCAGAGTCAGACTCCAGTAACTTATGCACTTATGCTCTTAACAAATGGGAGGCACACATGCAAACTAATGTAATTCCTTCAGCGTTGATGAGTACACTCATATTAAAGCTGACAGTCTGCAGTTAAAGCACATCTTGTTCGTTTTAGTTCAAATCCATTGGGTTGGTATATTGAGCCAAAAATGTTAGAATTGTGCCGATGCCCAAATATTTATGGACCTAACTGCATAAATATTTTACAGTTAAAATCACTGCTGTTTTTTTTAGAGTGTATATTTGCACAGTCATATTGATGTGTGTGTGTGTGTGTTCTTGCAGATTCAGGTGCTGGGGAAAAGCTGGAGACCCTCCAGGGTCCGGTTGCAGTGGCAAAGGTTGTCGGGGAGAGTGTGTTGTTGCCATGCGTGATGAAGGGACACCCAATACCGGCAATTCGCTGGACATTTAATGACCAACCGATTGAGGAAGCGTAAGTGAATCAGAACTTCATCTGTACTAAGCATGGGCCAGTATAAGAGTCTGACACTGATAACCTTCGTATTGTGCTCTAAAATAAGCTCTTATTAAATGTCTCGGGGAAAAAAACACAATATATTTAATTTCAAGAAACATTTACAATATTTTAGAGCTGTAAACATGTCAGGCTAAATAATGAAACTAAATTCTTGACTTCTGCTGACTTCATTAGTTTCAAAAGCACTGATTTCTGTACACCTTGGGAAGACGTCATTGATATCTTTCTGTTCTGTGGATATAACTAAGCCACTGTATTTGGCATGCTTGTATGTTGGAGCAAGTCATTGACAACACATTAAAACCAACAACAAAGACCAGGGGCCTCATGTACAAAGACTTGCGTGGAAATCTTACTAAAACATTGCGTACGCACAAAGCTGTAAATGTGCGTACGCAGAAAAAAATTCAGATGTATGAAACACTGCGTACGCCGAATCTCACGCATATTCTTTTGTACATCCGAATGAACGTGAAACTGAGCGCAACATGCCCGAGCGCAAAACTCCTCCCTGCCTCCTCCCCCGTATGAATATGCTAATGACTATGCTAATGGTAAAACCCAACGAAAAAGCAAAGGCAAAATCAAGCAAGAAGAGAAACTTTGAACAGAATGTGAATTGGTGGTGCTGCTTTCGGAGGTAGACCGGAGAAAAGCGGTGTTATTTGCAAGTTTGTTCTCCGGAATTAACAACAAAAGAAAAAAATAGAGTGGGAGAGTTTAGCTGATGCGGTTAACACAGTTGGGTCTGAACATCGCACTGAGTGAATTAAAAAGAAATAGTGTGGTTTATATCTGTAAAATGTTGCAGTACTCACAACAATCTCAGTGGCGCAGCTCGTAAGACGCATGTCAACATGTTTTGACACGTTCGAGCATGAACTCGGCTCGAATCCAGCGTCTGATGAACTCTTTCTTGTTTTTTCCCCGCTACATATCAGATTTTGCCAACTATTTATCACGAGAAAGACAAGTAGGAATCATCAATAAGTTTGTGCATCATATTTTATTTGCACATTTATTGAATGGAAATGTTTCTGATTCACGCATGCAAATTCATCTTCAGATAGTGTCTTTATAGCAATGTGTGTGCGGTAGATCGCTCAGATTACATTGGGAAAACAGGCGACTGCTGCAAATTGTGCTTTAATGTTTAGCTGGTCAAATGTATGGTATGGAAACCTTACATACCTGCTAGATGAACCCGTCTCATACAGCTGCCATTGCAAGGATCAGACACTTTGTAGAGAGGAATTTAACACAACTGACTCTAGGAGTCGCCAATGGAAATAAAACAGACACGCACAAAAAATGTGCGTACGCCAGCCATGAAGCTGCCGTGGAGCTGCGCACATTCCCACGTTCAGTTCATTGTTAGTAAATCCAAACGTGAGCGATTCTGAGCGTGAAACCTGGCGTACGCAAAGTTTTTGTGCGTACGCAGCGTTGATACATGAGGCCCCAGAACATTTTTAGCGGTTTATACACCTTTTCCAAAATCTGTAGACTCCTCCACTGGAACACATGCAGCAGAAAAGCCTGTGTGTAAGATGTGCGCACAGGTAGACTCTCAGAGCTCTGTAGTCTCTCAAATACACCCTCATTCACCCACACACTGCCAGCGCTCTCCTTTCCTCGTGTGGTTTGGCATACTAAAGCACGCTCCCTCCTGCTCAGCGCCACAGAGCACACAAAAAGAGTCAATTCAGTCGCTCTTAATCGACTATTCAGCGTCTGACTAAATTCCTCAGCGTAAAATATCCTTATTATCTAGCGGCGGTAATTACTGACGCCTGTGTAAACGGATGTTACAGAAGCGCCCGGCTTTTCCACGTGGCCATTGTGTGATTTAGCATGTGCTCTGCATGGTCATTATGCAACACAGCCTCGTTGGAAATAAGTGTGAAACTGCAGAAACATATGATTGACCTTTTTCTTCACGTACAGTTGAAGTCGGAATTAATAGGCCCCTGAATTATTAGCCCCCCCTGTTTATTTTTTTCCTTAATTTCTGTTTGATGGAGTGCAGATTGGTTTAGCACATTTCTAATCATAATAGTTTTAATAACTCATCTCTAATAACTGATGTATTTTATCTTTGTCATGATGACAGTAAATAATATTTGACTAGGTATTTCTCAAGACACTTCTATACAGCTTAAAGTGACATTTAAAGGCTTAACTAGGTTAATTAGGTTAATTAGGCAGGTTAGGGTAATTAGGCAAGTTATTGTACAACCATGGTTTGTTCTGTAGACAGTCTGAAAAACAATTAGCTTAAAGGGGCTAATAAATTTGACCTTAAAATGGTGTTTAAAAAATTAAAAACTGCTTTTATTCTAGCCGAAATAAAGCAAATAAGACTTTGTCCAGAAGAAAAAATGGTCCCACTTTATATTAAGTGGCCTTAACTAATATGTACTTACACAGGAATTAATAGTTTGTTACAATGTACTTATTGTGTAAATACATGTATTTCTTGTGTACTTATGCTTGATTAAATACATGTATGTAATTACATCTGTAATTAACTTCTGTAATTACATTTGTAAATACCTGTTGACCATCCCGTACACCTTAACCCACCCTAAAACCTACCCATACCAGCAAACCTGTCCATAACCCAACCCCTATCCCAACTCAAAAGCACCACAAGTGTTCTCAAATACATTATGAACACAGTAAGTACATTGTATTTCTTTTTTTGATGGAAGTACATAGTAGCTAAGGACACTTAATATAAAGTGGGACCTAAAAAATATTACCAGACATACTGTGAACATATCTTTAATCTGGTCAACATCTATTGGGTATGCAGAACTGGAAGGGATGTGATAGTGGGGAAAAAATGGGTGGATAAAAAAAAAAACTGAGTGGGAGAAAAATGTGTGAGAAAAAAAAATGATAGGGGAAAAAAAAAAAATTATATATATATATATATATATATATATATATATATATATATATATATATATATATATATTTTTTTTTTTTCCTTTCACTCTCACACACACCCCCCCCTCTCTCTCTC